TTTTTTTTATCTTGGGTTGCATAATGGAAGGCAACTCTCACCCATCCCTTAACCTACTCTATCCACAAGCCATTTGACTTGAACTCAAGACCTCTTACAAGAGATTACCACTGAGTCATTGGCTCCCTTATATCATTCTTGATGTTATTAGATCACTGACTAGGATGCATATCAGCAATTATTAAGTCAACTCCATTGTTTTGATGCAAAATTGCAGTCTTGATGAAACAGAAAATAAACAGAAGGGCAATGGTTCACACGGACAAATAGAATCAAAGCAGGACACTGGACACCAGAGAGGATTCATTATGGAGATCTGCAAATCTCATTTTTTATATTCTTCTGCTTAAATATTATGCTAAGTGCAGTTCACTTTAGTGTTTAATTAGAGAATACGTGAAGAAAGGATATAACTGCTGAGGGTTTGAGTTCCTTCATAACAGTTTAAACCCCCCACTATCATTATTTGTGTTGGTTTTTTTTTTTTTCACAAAGAAAATGAATGGACAGAGAGTTGGGAGAAAGATGAAGAGCAGAACCTAAACTAAAATGGAGAGAAGTATATCACTTCAACTCAAATTTTCTCATTAACCAACTCTCCTATATATAGAGAAATACAATCTTTAAAACAATTCAAAATTCAAACAACTATTCTACATTAAAAAACAATAAAAGTACATTTGAAATTTGAAATAAGTAACAGCCACTTTTGTTGCATGCTTGCGTCCTTTGGCAGCTCTGCAGCCTCTTTGCAGCCTTTCATTTCATTTGCATTTGCATTCCTTTTGCAATTGCATTTGCATTTCGCTTACTGTTCATTGTAGCTTCATCTTCATCAACATTTGCAGCTTAGCTTGCAGCACATTTTTGCTGTCATTTGACAGCTTCATTTCCATCATATTTGCAGCTAAATTGCTGCCACATTTGCTGTGAAATTGCAGCTTCATTTGCTGTCAATTTTCAGCCTCATTGCTGCCATTTCATAGCAGTTTCATTTCATCATTTTTGCAGGTTTGAATGCCACATTTCTAACAATAATTCCAACAATTTGAACTCAGGTCATGACAGCTGTTAAGCAGAATGGGTATGCAGTTGACATTGAATGGTTCAAAGAATGTTGTTCTATTTTTCTCTTCTGAAAATGGAGTTTCCCAGTGCCTAACACATCAAAATCCAGTGAGAAGAATATTTCTGAATCAGTGTGACTCTAATGATGGAGTGACATAAGAATCAGAAAGCCGATCAAGAAGGGTGAAATAGGGAAGGAGGAGCCTTCAACCTTGCATATTAGTTTCCAAGGATTGACAGGTACTTGTTTGTACGACAGGTAGGTGTTATAGCCGCTCTGCAACAATATATCCCTAATGGAAAATGATAAAGAGAGTTCAACATAACTGTGCATTGACAGTCATTTTCCTCATATGAACTTCTGTGTTTATGGTAAAATTTGACATCATCTGTGAGAATTTCTTATAAAATTTGCTGTGGCATATTGGAGATTGTAACAGAAATATAGAACAGATAGAAGAGCCAAATATCTTGGCTGGTTTAATAAAACATGAAGGGGTGGGCACTCGCGGCCTTTGCTTACACCTTACTGCAAAAAATAGAATAAAAATCTCTATAGTGGCAGGAGGGTCATGGCAGAAGCTAATGTAAGTGTGTAACATATTATATTTCTGTTGATAGAAGTTGATCATACCTATTAAATTTTATTTATTCAGAAGGGACAGAAAATACCTAATAATTCAAAGGAGGTTAAAGAAAACAGTTCAATAATGGTGAACTGGGGGATGGGCACATCCACATACCCGGGGAAGGATACGATGGATGGTAAAGGGAAGGGGGCTATGCATTACATGACAGGAAAAGTACTGATGCAACGACAAAGATATGATCTCCATGCTGTGATTTCCTTCTCTTTCATTTTACAAAGTAAACAGAAGGAATCCACAGCAAACTTTACACGCTGCCATCGAGATTCATTTATCTAAGATGCTTCATTGAGAAACTTGTGCCTATTAACACATCTTAGGTTCCTAGTTTTCAAAAGAAAAATGACCCTTTTCACATCAATCCTTAATAGGGTGCTGTTTTAGTTAGTTAAAGTAGTTTGGTTTTCTGTAAATCTACTCGGTAGGAATTCACTTAACATGTTTCTGCCAATTTTCACTCAACTGCTTAATAATTTGGCTGGCATCTGTAAATGATATTTGCCATACCCGTTCTAATTATAAGGCAAAACTCACTGAAACTTCTGAAATGATGAGGAAGTGTGGTGGGATCTGTTTTTGTTCCCTGTTAACCTACACTCCTTCTGAGATCATGAAAATTTTAAACATAATGTAAGCATGTCTTGAGAATTTTTCAACAGAAAAGATTGGGACCAAAATATTAATGAAGGCTTCTTTATGCCTATATTTTAAGTAATCATATACTTTTCTTTCAATATTATGTTCATTACTTGCTTTTCAAAAAGGTACAGATGTGGTCCTAAACTCTGCTTTTAAAGTCTACCTAATCTTTGCTGAAATGGGCACGCACTTTAGACTTTAGTGGAATATAAATTTTGATTCTTATCAATCCCCCAAATTTAAGACTAATAAATCCTGTACTCCCCTCTGCAATTCCTGAAACAGATTATAGCATATATCACTTTCTAGAAGCCCGAGTTGCCGCATACACATGAACGAATAGAATTGAAAGTAATTTCAATAAAATACTCCAAACCAACAAATTTCCAAGTCACATATACACTATATTCTAATATCCACGGTTACATTACATGTCACATACACACAACTTAGCAAAGAAAGCAAAAGAATGAATTAATCTTTCTTCAAAAGCCTAACCTCAAATCCAAAGGGAGGCCTGAGGAAAAAGAAGAACCTTCTTCAACTGGGGCTGGTAAATTCAGGTCCAGACCAAAACCTTCCTTGGCTGCAAGAAGGTTCAGCCCTTGGTTCAGTGATGCTTCATCCACTTTCTCCCAATGGCACCTCTTGTGTCCACCCAAGGCTTGACCACTAGAGAAAACCCTGAAGCAAATACTGCACTTGTGCCCCAAAACCATCAGCATCTTGTTATTTTCTTCCATATTTTCTTTGGTTAATCCATCATCATCGCCACCACTTTGATCTTGATCAAATTCACCACCATCACTTCTAGCTATTGCAAAACAACCCTTGACATTCTTATGACTGGCCCTGTGTCCTCCCAACGCCTGGTGTGATCCAAACACCTTCTTGCAACTCGAGCACTCAAATCGACAATTCACACCCGAATTCCCCCCCAAAACCCAATTTTCCCCTAACCCATGTTGAGAAATTGTTCCACACTCACTCAGATCACTAGCATTGACCCCATTAGCCAGCATCAACAAACATGCTGCAACCTCATGATCCTCTTCGGTCATCAAGGCCTCCACGTTATGCATTTGACTAATCGGAGAAATGGGGCGGCGGAAGTTCGGAGGTGGGTTAATTCCCCGCCACTGCCGCTCAGGGTGGCACCTCATATGCCCATACAGAGCCTTGGATGACCAAAACTTCTTCCCACATTCAGTACAAGGCCTAGTGATCTTTGGCGCAGCAGGGTCAGGTTTCTTGCGATATTTAGGCTTGGAAACAGTGCTAGAACTGGAACCAACATCAATATTCATCAATTTGGACCGTCTCTTTCTGGAACTTTGGGTGTAATTCCCAGTGGGGCTTGAGGGTGAAGGCAAGTTTGGATTGATATGAGAGGAAAGGAATTGAGACCCGGGACAGGAATCAGAATCTACGGTTGTAACCATCTTAGCAGTGAGGGTATAGAGATGAGAAAGAGGGAAAAAAGTTGTAAGAAATGTGGAAGTCGTGCTTATGTAGAGATAGTAGTAGTTTAGGCAGTTACTAAAGACAAATTTTGAAATGGGCGGTTTCCTTCGGTTGTTGTATTGGCGACATGAGGTAGTTACTCCCAGGTCATGCGCTACTGCATTTAGGCATGTTTTTTAACAGCCCTAATAATCCTCATCCTCATCCTAATCCTGATCCCGATATTCTTTATTTTCTTTTTCTTTTTCTTTTTTTCGTTGATTTACACTGACAAATGTATATGTATATTAGGGAATTGAGAAAAATAAAGATATCATGACAATTATAATGACAAGATTTTTTATAAAATTATTTAAATATTTTTAATAAATTAATATATAAAAAAATTTATTAAGCTATTTAAATAATTTTATAAAGAGTCCATGCCCTAGATTTTTGTCCGTCTGGAGATGATTGAAATACGCATTTTTGTCACATGCAAATCTAGCTTCTTCTTCTTCTTCTTTTTCCATTTTTTTTTTCAATTTCCAATTTCAGTGCTTAACTTGAGCATGTAATATGAAATTACATTTTCCTAATTTTTACATTTTTTTGTTAAAAAAAAAGAAGAGATTGCTTAGCAAATAAAATAGAAACTAAAAATAGAGAGTGAAGGAAAACGGGAAGAGTCATTTAACCAATTTATGAGACTAATTACAGATAGAATTAGTTACTGTTTATAGCTTTAGCCGGGAACTAGAACAGAATATATTTCAAGGAGGAAACTGGAAAGAGCAGCAATGTAAATACCGGTCAAGGTGCACAAAGGCTGAAGGAAGAAACAAGAATAATCTGTGCACCTCCTCCCAACATGCCCAAGTTACAATATGCTATGGATTTTGTTGAGTTCACGAAGCTTTAACGTTCTTCATGGTTTTTCCCAGGATGTTTAGAAGCGCAACACGGTGCATTTCTTTTGCTGCAAGATTGGAGAATAGGTGATGAATTATATCAGCTTCCTGTTGAGAAAAAGATACAACTAAGGTAGAGAAAAGGAACAAAACAAAATCGCCAATGAGAGAAACCTTTTGTCTTCCATTGCTGCATACAAGTTTGAAGAGACAAATGCATGATAGGATATTCATGAGAGTGATAAGTGTAATGAAGATTTGATAACTGAATGAATCAAGCTGCCAACCATGTAAATAAGATATTACGTCGATACTGCACAATAAATTATAACACATGCTACATTTCCCCCCAAACCCAAATTGAATGTGATTGCAGACTGACAACATAACGCATAAAAACAGAACTGAAAGAAACTCTATTAGGGGCAGGGAGCCAAACCATAGAATTGAAAATTTTGAGGGACTAAATGAAAGGGCAATTTCAAAATTATCTGTAACTTCAGTGGAAATCCAAAAGCTTCTGTCCTTGGATAGGTAGACAGTTTAAAAGGTAAACTAGGTGTGAAAGCAGCATTGCTATGGCAAGTTTTTAATAAAGCAAATCTGGCAGGCATTACGGGTTGCCAACAAAGATCCAGGCAAGTTCTATGCCCAACCTGCAATATTAGAACCATATGTTTTATGTGCCTGGAAAGCAATAACAATATAATTGCTAATATGATGCTTTGTCACAAATATGCACCATGGTACAGATGAGGGGTCACTGGAGAAGGGAGGTGTAAACATAGACCACTTCCTCCTAAAATGGTGCAAACAGTGCACTGATACTTGGGCTTGAATCAGAAAAGGCAGAGGTCCAACAGTAGAAGCAAGAATAATCTTGAACTCTGTGGTAGCAAATAACACAACTACACAAGTCATTAATCATAAGCAATATAAGAGAATGTCTTAGAGGCAGGGTACTTTGACATCTTCACAACACAAATCAGTCAGTCTGAACAAATCTTCTCCCAATACAAAGTGGAACAGATAAAAAAAAGGCAGCATGAAAACCAATAGATTACCTTCCTCCAGTAAGCTGAATTGATCTCTTTTCCAACTCAACAGCAAGTTCAGCAAGTTCAACTGAAAAAAATGATTGAAGCACTGAAATGAAAATATATATAAATAAATTTCTAAACCAGTATTATAAGAATTTTACCAACTATAAGTAGAACATGTCATGGCTGTTTTAATTGAAATTCCTTGTCATACTCTGGACATAATCATCTTGATTTGATTGGTCCAATTTCTTTAATAGCATCTGCAATTGACAATACTGCTCTTCCTAATGCAGTTTATTAACTTCCTCTGGACTATTCAACAATGTGGTATCAGAAGCAACTGGATGGTGATTGGACTCTGGTGATAACATCATACCAGACTTCCCAACAGACAGAGGAACTAAAGCTTTTGCAGATGAACTCATCAAGGAAGCCTTTGGGAGAGGAGCAAATGCACGAAAACAAGAGACCTTTGGCTCTTTTATCTGGGGCTTCGATTGGTTAGTCTCCTCCAGGCTGTCAACTTGCCTTATGTGAGGACTATTACCATTAGTATTAATGACAATGCCATCACAAGTGCTGCTTTTTCCAAGTTCTACTCCAGATTTTCTATGGACATAAACAAGATGTGCATTTGGGGAATTACTGCTGGGAGACTGGTCTTGAGAGGGGCTCATCCACGCTGGTGGTCTCTTAGTTCCAGAAACCTTGATAGCATCAACAGCAGGACCTCCATCCTTTGCATATGGAGAATTGATTTTGGAGTTGGGCACCACTCTATTATCATTCTGTATATCTCTCAATGGTGTCTTCTTTACAGCAGCTGGAAGTTGCTTCTCACAGGAGGGTGAGCTATTTTCAGGATTGTGTAGCCTATGTGCACCAACTTCAGAGTCTATAGTTTGTTGAACCATTGGCATACTAACTCTGGTAAAGAAATTCAGAAGATCAGGAACAACAATAACATGGTTCTAAAACTAAATAAGAGACAAAACAATTACCTAGGATACAGGTTCTGAATGACTCCATAAAATGTTCTTAAAGCTACAACCTCCAAGTATATGGTAGTTACACAAGGTATAACCATTATATTCAGCAAATTTGATAAAATGAGATAGTTTCCTAACTAAAACTAAGCAAATCCCTCAATTTGCACTCAACAATAAATCACTCAGGTAAACCACTCCAGCAAAAGGAAATGAAACTATACCGGATATGATGCAATGGTGCAGTATTTTTTCATTTTGAAATAAATTAGAACCACTATAGTTAAGTAAGCAACTTAGTGGGATCACATCTCCAATAACCATATAATGCCTCCAACCATATAATATCTACACTTGCAATGATGCAGTATTTTTTCATTTTGAAATAAATTAGAACCACTACAGTTAAGTAAGCAACTCAGTAAGATCACATCTCCAAAAACCATATAATGCCTCCAACCATATAATATCTACACTTGCATCCTCTTCCATCAATGCCTACAAGTTCTGTTCTTCCTCTTTATCATGGCAACTTTCTCACCACATTTGAATCATGTTCTCATGTTTATTCATTTAATAAACAACCATCTATAATATCTTTTGCTCCTTCAAACTAGTTCATCATGGCCAAAGATTAAAAAAAGCCAGGTCATCAGATTCGAGTCATAAAATTCAAAATTGCTACATCTTGGAAAATTCAAATTACCATCAGGGGCAATTTATATGTTAACAGAAGTATATTAACAAAAACCTTTAAAGAAACATAATCAGTTAGTGTGTGCATTCTCCATGAATTTAACTGCATTTCGTCAAAGCAGCAAACAAATAAGAAACATTACAACATAGAACACTACAAACAACATCCCTCACTTGCATTCAACAAGAATACACACTCAATGTCATGACAAAAACGAAAGCAATACCATCTAAAAGCAGAACCATATCAGAGGCAGATAACAAATCAAAAGTACATCTCTTCAATTATCTCAACAAATTCGAAGCAAAATGGCTCAAATCAGAACACCCAGAACTCAAAGGCACTTTAGTTAACCCAAATAAATAAATACCGGGAGCCCAATTTCTCCGAAATGCATTTAACAAGCAAAACCAATTAAATTAAAAACCACAAATTCGGAAGAAAAATCAAAATTGTGCAGTGCAATCAGGGTTATGATCGTATTGCAAAAACCAATTCAACCCACAAAGGTAATGGCAGCAACCAATCAAAGCTATAACTGCTGAAATGGGAGATATATAGAGAAAATCTTTGATTAAAACAAACTAGGATACCACATTACCTAAGCTCATCGAAGAGGCAGAGGGGGAGAAGGTCCAAGAAATGATGGTTTGTCAGACACGCTTTTTCCCTGCTATTTAGGGCTCCATATATTTTTTTCTTAACCTTTAACCCCAACGGATTTTGGGCTAATTCTTTTTTTTTTTTTTTTTTAATTGACTCATTCCACATTGTTGCATGCGTTAGGGAAGGAGGGAGAGTGGAAGGGGATTCTCGTTGTTGGAATAAATAAATTATAAAACAAAATAAAAAATTTTATTTTTTCCTTTTTTTTCTCTCTAATTATTATATAATTAAATAAAAATAATATTTTTTTATTTATCTCTTTCAACTTAAACATACTATTAATTAATAAAACACCATAAATACTTGCGCTAAATTCACCTCAACTAAAATTGAAAATTTAAAATTTAATTAGACTATGACGGTATGACCACCTCCTTTTTCTTTTTATTCACATAAATCCTCGGTGACAATAATTAATTAAAATTATATTCAGTTTTAGGTAACCGCTAGTATCATTTTTTCATAGATGCAAAAAATAACAAAAGAGTTATGTTTTCTCCAAACACACCTTGGAATTTTTTTTTTCTTCTTCTGTTAATATTTAAAACAACTCTCTCAAGGTAAAAAACCCTTCAAAAACTAAAAGAATCCTATCAAATGAGGGCGGTGAACAAATATTTGCCCTTCCCTCCGGCCAATCACAAATTAAAAATGTTAAAAAACTATTTTTTTTTTCATTTAACAGCTTAAATTAAAAAAGAAAAAAGAAAAAAAAAACATATTCAGTTTATACAAAAATGGGATGACAAAAATCCAGTATTGAGAAGCGTGAATCTACAAGTTCACGTATCAAACCAGTAGTAGTCCATAGGTATACGATGGGTGTTCTTGCAATCTTGCTTATTAAACGCGCACAGAAGGGTATCAGCGCGTGTGCCCATGTTCCATGGTATGGGAAGGCACCGAGCCAAAGAAATTAATCGTACATGTCCAATGACGATCTTGGTTAATTGTAACAGGCAACAGGTAACAGGTAACAGGTAACAGGATAAGATATGAAGCATTACTGGCCTGTGTTTCCTAAAAGTCGCTCTACCGCAGCATGAACATTTCCTCCAGTGGCACGCAGTGCCCTAATATTCTCTTGTGTGTCGGGGAAACCCATCTCTTGAAGCTGTGAAAGCTGAGTTGCGTATAGTTCTTCTGGGGGAACTGAAAGAGGTCAAGATAGAATCAGCAGTCGCCTGAAAATGTAATCAGTCGCAATTATCCAACGCCTATATTGAAGCTATAAGAATTCTTACCATTGAGTTGGTTCGGAACACTCAAGCTTCCAGCTTCAAGACCACCAAACATGTTCATCAACATCTCTAGCGCAGTATTATTAGGCATCCCTATAATGCAAAATGTATAACAGAAAGATGAGAAATAAGGAAATAATATAGAGAGGAAAAAAAGAGGTAATGGATATTAAGAATAAACTCTAATATAATTTTTTGTTAGATACCAGTAGTTCCACCCGTCTGTGCTGAATCCCTGAAAGAAAAACTAGATAGTGAGTACAAGACAATTAGTCTCAACTCTATGAAAGGCTAAACATGGCAATATGCCATAGGATCAACATCAAGAAAATCCCAAATTATAGATTCAACAAAAGAAAAAAGGGGATAAGGAGGCATAATTTACATACTGTGTTGAATGCTGCTGATTAAACTGGGAAAGAAATGACTGCTGTAAAGCCAACATTTCCTGCAAGCAATCATGCAAAAGAAAAAAAATAAAAGGTTAAACGTGGATTAATTAGAACTGCAATTCTATGAAAATAATTTATAATAGTTAACAAACAACTAATGAAGAAATCAAATGATCTGACAGTATCCATGGTGCCAGTTCTGTTGTTATCCGAGCTACTATCCAGAGACATACAATTATGCAGACACAATGTGACCACACGCCCATACAAATGTCTTTCAAGAATATTTTCACGTCCTTTAATAGATACAAAAACTAAAGTGTGTTATGAGATGCAGACCCACGAGATATACCTGCATTGTCTCAGGGGAGAATAACTGACGAAGTAGTTCTGGATTTTGCATCATTTCTCTCATTTGAGGATTTAAATCAACCATTCCACGTAGCTGGGGGTCAAGATTGAGCATCTGAAAGGCAAGAGCAAAATTGCTCACACAAACAAACAGGCATTGACTACTAATAGCTGAAATCCTGAAAACTGGAACTTGGAAGTACCTCATTCATGTACTGGGGATTTGAGAGTATATTCTGCATCAACTCTGATATGGCTGGATTTTGCAATAATTGAGTTAACTGGGAAGCATCTGGTGTCCCATTAAACATATGTGCCATATTTGGAAAACCATCCCCTCCCAGACCACCAACACCTGGTGCAGTTGCATCCAAAGCTGGATTTAGCCTCACTGTACTGTTTGTCTGGGTCCCACCTGACAATTCATAGCAATAATTTTACCTTATTCAAATCTAGATTCCTAGCATAAGGAAAACATACATTGGACCAATGAGAGTGCATAGAGAAGCAACAATACTTTAATGAAAGTACTTAAAGAGCAAGTTTACCACTGGCACCAGTATTGCTCCAAGGATTAGGAAGTGGGTCCGAATTTGGAGCAGCAGAGTGTCCAGTTGTTTCAGACCCTGTGGCTGCAGGGGTGTTGGATGCATCCATAGCTTGTGTCCCAACTTGGTTCCCCAAGAGAGCTGAGAATGGATTTGACCCTAAATTATTTCCACTATTTCCCATTGTTGTGGCATTCAAGAATGGTTCCTGAACGTTCTCATACATCCGCCTGAGCATGTTAAACCCCTCTGGGGAGGATTCAATATTACTCATTGCCCTATCAGTGTTCCGCATCATTTCTCGCATTAGTTCAGGGTTCCTGGAAACTTCTAATGTCTGACGAAGAATGCTGGGATCGTTAAGTATATGCCCAAGCTCGGGATTCCGATCAATAATCTCACGCATTTGAGGATTGCTCATTATCAAGCTACGCATCAACTCGGGGTTATTCATCAAGCTCTGTATAGCAGGCATGTTCATTATTTCTCTCATCATGTTGGGGTTTTGAGTCAATTGTTGCTGTACTTGTTCAAACTCTTGTGATCCAGCTCCAAATAAACCAGATGCTCTAGTACCACCTAGTGCATTAAGTCCAGGGAATAGAGGTGCCCCTAGACTAGGACTTGCAAATCCCCCACCTTCGTTAGAACCAACACCCCTTGTGACAGTTGGTGTAGTGGTCTCACTTCCAGCATTTGAAGCAGCTGCGGGAGGTGTAGATGAAGCTGGGGCAAATCCATGAACCATGTGGACTGTGTGATCAGCCTGTAAACCTTCAACAGAAGGTAAAGGATGAAGAACAAAATGGTCAAAGAGAAGGATAAAATAATAGAGGCCACTAAAAGGTAGAAACTGTCATGGTGTTGGGTCATTATATGTCAATTCTATGCTATATTTATCTAACTGCAAATTTCAATATGCAGTAGAAAACCAACAAGACAAGGGAATGTTTACTACATGCAAACCCTGGAAGTGGCAATCTGTTACAAGACATTTAACAACTAATCTAGGAGCTCCTTAGTAAAGTAGCAAAGGGGTTGTAGCTTGTAGCTGTACCCAACTAAATTACTATTTAAACTCATTAAAGTGTCAAATAAAACATATCAAAGAACATAAAAGTAATTTGCCACAGACCGTGTAGCAGTTTTGCAAAAAAACAGATCATAATTCTTAGTTGCTATTATCATAGAGCACTGAATAGATTATCTAACTCCAGTAGCTAGGAAGCAAATAGCCATCATGGATTCCCAAATAATAATTTCCGCAGCAAGCATGTAATATTTTTCAGACAAGTGAAACTTCATCCCTGAGTCACAGTTTTGGTTTCCATTGTTATTCAAAAATAGTTCCATATTACAAAAGCCAAAATAGGCATAAAATCCCAATATCAATAGTATAATCCAAGATAATATTTTTCAAACATATTTCAGAAATTACCAAAAATTTCATTAAGAAAAACGCAAATGACTGGTAATAAAAATTGATAAAGATGGAATTCCAACATTCTTAATCAATTACATTTTATTGCTAGATTAAGTCAAACACCGAGAAATTGGGGGAAAAAAGGGAGGAAAAAAAATTAAAATTTGAATGACATACCATAACTTTCAAGGGTCTCCCCATCCTTCAGGATGCGACCTTTGTAAATTAATCGCTGTTGCTCAGCTGGGATATCGCAATTCCGTGCCAAAACAGCTTTAAACGATCCAACCGAGGATTCGAGGTTCGTCCTCACCGAAAACTTGGTGCCATTTGAGCACCGGATATTAATCATCACTCCTCTTCCTTCTTCTCCATTGCCACCGACTCTTGTCTCGCTCGAATCTCCCTCTGCACCCATATTTCCTTCTTTTCAAAACCCAGGAAAATCCAAAACCCTAATCCTTAAAAACCAAAAACAGCAGTTGGTCGTTGTATGATTTTCCTTTCAAAACTGTATAATTGTTCGGGGTAATAAAAAAGAAATGCTGAATTTAAATTATCGGAGAAAAGTAGAAAATAAAGAGAAAAAATATCGCGAAAATTGAAATTAAAAAAAAAAAAAAAAGAGTAAGAGAATTTTGATTTTTGACACTCCAAGAAAATCTGAAGGGTTTTTCCGCGCAGAGATGTGTTCTGTAAGAGAGGGGACGGGCAGGCTATGACTAGCAAAATTGTAAATATTGTATTTTTGAGATGGTGGAAAATTAAGGTATTATCATTCAAGTTATGAAAATTTTATTAAAGATATTTATATAATTTTATTAAGATTTTTCACATTTTAAATGGTTGAGGTTCTGATTTTTATGTTTTTATTTAAAATATTAATTTTATTGAATTTAATTAAAAAAAATAACTAATAATTATAATTATTAATTATTATATAATATTAATAATAAAACACTTCATATTTATTAATTATTAAATTAAAATTAATTAATAAATTATATTAAAAAAATTAAAAAATTTGTAGCCTTAGGGGCAGGGGGGGTACTTCTGTTTGGAATATCCTGTTTCGCATAACCAATCAAAAACTGAGGTACGCTAATGTCAATTTTTTCTTTTCTTTGTACCCCGAGTGGGATGTAAACTAATCTCATGCTTGTAACCAATGGGCCTTCTAGCCCAGTTGCAAATGTTGTTGGTCTGAAAACTTGTCAGAATCAGGGCCATATGTTTTGTTTAAAGTCGCTGACTTCACTCCTTTGCACAACCATACTTGAGAACATGAGAAACAAGATTATTTGCAAAGAGGGGGAGATAGGATGATGGGAGGAGCCATGCTTGGCCGCAATGAACATTGTAGAGGATTATATATGGAGTTATTTATTTTACAATGTGGATTACATTGAATTATAAAATATAAACCATTTAATAAGAAATAATTTCCAATATTAACCTGTCTTATATTTAATGGTAAATGCTATATAATTAGATAAAATTTAAATTATACAATATTTTTTTTGTTATATATATATATGTTTGTTGGCAAATTAAAAGTGAAAAAATGTCATGATATCTCTCTAGTATGGTATCTGCGGTTTCATCTCAAGATAGGATTGTGGACTAGTTCCCATATATTGAACTTTGACTTTCTAAAACACAATTGTCAAGGCTTAGGCAATTTAGGCTTCTTTTCGGAGTGGTGTTATGCTATATTGTAGCTATAAGTGTTTTTATTTTTTATTCTTCTGTATTTTTAAAATTAATATAAAATATTAATTAAAATTAATAAAAATTTATTAAAAAATTAAGAATAATAAATTTATATTTCTAGATAAGGTATTATATAAAGAAACTCTATATAAAATATTTTCAAAGAAAGTCTTAATTAGTGGTTGACAAAGTTATTCTTAATGAGCTAATGGGCGCATGTTCTTTAAGGGAGATTGGTTTCAAGGTTCAGTTTATACTTGGACCATGGGAGGCATGGAGGAGAAATACTAGGGACAGGCTTCATCGGACTTTGATGAATGATGGTTGGCATTGGCTTTTTCCTAATGTTCAATTGCTCCATTGTACTAGAATAGGGTCTAATCATAGTCCATTATTGTTATATTTGCAAGTTATTCTTAGAATGTTGAGAAGAAGGTTTTGGTATAAACTGAAGTGGCAGGTGCAAAATGAATATTCTGAAGTTATTTCTCATGGATGGTCCACTAAGAAGTTAGATTCCCCCCTTTTTAGCTTGATGTCTAAGTTGCATTATCTTAAGAAAAATCTACAGACTTGGTGTAGAAATGTTCCAAAAAAGGCCATATGAGGATCTTGATAAGCTATAGCAAGAACTTGACGCTTTGTAATGAGACTAGCCATCTGTTAATAATATGGAGCAACATAAAATCTTAGTTGATAAAATTAATACTATATGGGCTCAAGAGGAAACTCACTATTTTCATGTTGTTGTTTTTAGATAGAGGCAAAATAATTATATTTTTCAATTAAAAGATGGCACAAGTAGAGTGCTTGATAAGAAAGACATAATTCTTGATTATGTTTATAATGGCCCAGATGATGGCAAGCTAATAGGGGGTGAATTGGGTTTTCAAAAACTTTATGCAATTTTCAAAAGCAAAATAATGAACACTCACAAGCAATTGCAAACAAATAATTTAAAGTGTAGAAATTAAAAGTTAAGGGAAGATAAAGCTCAAAAGATAAGGATTTATTATGGTTTTGTCACAATTTGTGCTTAGTCCACTCTTCAAATTGCCTGCTTAAGAGTTTGATTTGGATTTAAAAGCTCTCCTCCAACTTTTAAGTCTAGAGGCAATCATTTGCAATAGCTTTGTTGACATTATCCACCTTTGACAATTCAACCTCTTGTTACAATCTCTTACAAACCCAATCCTATACCACAAGGATAGTTTTCTCTAAATTTAACAAGGTTACGCAATCACTTTCCCAATAGCTTACGGGTGCTATTGAACCATTTAATCCCCTTGTTACAAATCTTTCATCCCTTCCAACACCTTAAGGATGGATTACTAAATATAACAAGGTTTCCCTAATAATTGATCAAACAACCATAAAGCAATATGTCACAACTTACAATTGAAACTAAAGCTATGACAAAATTGTCAATTAGATAAAGTATATTTCATTTGTTAAAAGTTGGACAATACAATTAAGGTAAGTTAATATCAAATACATGAAAATTCTCTATTAATTAACTACAAATTACAACTGATAAGGCATCACACTAAGACAATAGACATCACCTTAAGAAAGATGCCTTATACTAGAAAAACCTTAAGCAATCAATTTCAACCAAGTGGAAGAGATCTACACGTATATGTTTCCTTAAAAATAGACTTCGATGAAGTAAATAAATATCAAAGCATATACTTCCTTTGTGGTATTAGGTGGTGCCATATTTGCAGCTCTAAACCTTTTCACAGCTTCATTACTGGTTCCATTATTAGCATTCTCAAGCTTTGCGTTACCTTGCTTCTCCTTCACATTCTTAACATCAAGCACCCTCTTTGTCCTTCACAACGAATCTAATCCAACATCTTCATCCTTACCATTGACACCAAAGGCACATTATTCTTTACCTTTTTTGCTACCTTCTTGTCCTTGATCTTTGCTTTCTCCTCCTCCATTCTCTCCCTAAAAGTTGCCACTTCCTCATCGTTACCATTGATCACAAACTTATTTGACTTTGTAAAATCCTCATGACACATCAAACAAGAAGACAACGTCACCTCCTTCAATGCCTTTGCACTCAATTCATGCCCACAAGTTCTCAATGCAAAAGTTTATACTTCTCGATAAACTCAAAACCCAGATTGGGCACTAAAACCTGGCACCATCAACCTTTGATTCCTTTCTAAGAATCATGGATAATTTAATATTTACCATAACCTTCAAACCCTTTGTGTGGCCAAACCCTTTAGGTAGTTTCTTCTCTAGAAAAGCCTCCACAAGAGCTTCTTTGTTGAAAATATTCCCTAACTTATCAATGACATAGGGCTTTTTTAGGGGGTCATTAAACAATGCACAATTTAACCACTTAGATAGCCTCTACTCATTAAGATCAACCTTGTTGAGCTTCTTTTCAGCATACATGTTAAGGTAGTAATCACAGGACTCTACCCGATTACTCCACCATCTCCACCATCACCAAGGATGCGAGGTAGTGAAACCAAAGTGGAAAAGAGGCACAATTTGGGGATTGGGGAGAAGGTCAAATCAGAGAGAGGTTTGCCATTAATAGTGAAATAAAAAAAAAAGAAGGAATGAGATTCAAAAAAGATGGAAGATTTGAGATGGCAAAGAGTTACTGAGTTTGAAAGATTAAGGGTTAGAAGTTGGGTTCACTCTAGGATTGGATAAAGAATTGAATAGGGTGATTTTGACTTATTGGATCTATCTTGCGCCGATAAGGACTATTGAAAACCAATTAAAGAAAAGAAAATGGGGTGATTTTGTAGCATGACGTTGGTGATACCAAGTAAGTCAACCATAGTGATAAGTGCTATATAACGATTATCAAGTTGGAGAAGATAGCAAGCAATAAAAGGACTTTAATATGGATAGGGCAATATCAGGCTAAGCCTAAAACTAGTAAAAAAAGGTCAATGGCCCAAATTTGATAAAGATATGCATATCTCAACCCAAAAAAGAAACAAATAAAATTAGGGAATAACCCCTACTTAATCCCTGAAGTTGAAGAACTCTTTGCTCCAAAATTTCTCTAACTTACTTTTTCTCATGCTTGAACAAACTAGGCAAGGCAATTTAGGGTTCTCTTTTAATATCGCTTTCACAAGATGTTTAGTTTGAGTAACGAAAGACACTACTAGAAAAAGTTTTATTTTGGACAAAATATTTCGGACAAGAAAATATTTTGCCCGAAATAAAACTTAATTCGGTCAAGTATTTTGACTGAAATATGTTTTAGTCCGATTAAAAGATGTTTAACATAATAATTGGGTCTAAAATTATTTTAGTCAAAATTTTAACCGAAATAAAAGAACGCCAATTGGCGCCACCATTAATTTAGTCAAATATTTTATCTGAATTATATTAATAATAAAATAGTAAGCATTTCAATAAAAATTTTGACCAAATTAATTAAGTAATTTTTGTTTTAATTTAATTATGTTTTTCGATAAAAATTTAGACCGAAATAATTGTCTCCCTTTTCTTTTTTAAATTCTATTAGTATGACGCTTCGTTTCCTAAACTTTTTTAATTTTCTATGAAGTTATTTTGGTCAAGCATCTTGATTGAAATAATTGTCTCCTTTTTTTTTTCATTATATTACTATGACGCTTTCTTTCCTAAATTTGTTTAATTTTCTAAGAAACTATTTCAGTTAAAATGCTTGACCGAAATAACTCTCCTTTTATTTAAAATTGTATTAGTATAGCACTTCCTTTCTTAATTTTTTTTAATTTTCTATAAAACTATTTTGGTCAAACATCTTGATTGAAATAATTGTCTCCTCTTTTTTTTAATTATATTACTATGATGCTTTCTTTCTTAAATTTTTTTTTAAATTTTCTAAGAAACTATTTCGGTTAAGATGCTTGACCGAAATTATATTGTTTTGGCTCCAAGAATTAAGTGAAATTTCTTAAACTTTTCACCAAAATTATTTCGACCAA